TAGGAAACAAGATCCGCGCAAAAGTATTTGCAAATAGGTTACAAACTGATATCGACTCTGTATCTAAATTTAGAGATTAAGATAAAAGCATCAGAGATAGGCAATTTTTTAAACACAATATTTTTCATGCATTTGGATAGATATTATAGTACGATAAGCCGATAAGCAACCGTATGTTGCGTAAAAAACTAAAGTGACTTAAAAATGAAGCTAATAAGCTAAACCATAAACTAATATAACGAAAAGTAACCACAGGAAGCTGAAGATTTCCAAGTTTTGGAGTGAACTGATAAGCATAGCTACTTAATTGAATACAGTAGGTATATAAGTATAAATATATAAAAGGACGAGAGATTGGCGAAGGTAAGCGGAAGCATGCCCTGCTTTTTAAGGTTGGTTTCTACAAAAAACGCACACGGCGTGGAGGAAAATGCATTAAACGTGCTGTTCAATCCAAGTACAGAATTGGACGGCAACAGTATCATATGCCGAGGCACTTAAACACATAGCCAGCCCCATCACAGTGTCTTGCAGGAGCAAATTTTGGAATAATTATTAAGCATTACTTTCTGCTTTTATCAGCTAAACTTTTTAATTCGTTTTTTTCTTTTCTGTGATATTACCTAAACATAAAAGCCTTGCTAACACCGCTCCCGTAAGACACAGTGATGGGGTTGGCGATGTCACAGGAAATTTAAAAAATGAATTAAAAGATAAACAGAACATAAAATGAAATAATTATTTACATATATTCTGAATAGTCGAAAATATGCGAGGCCCAGGTAATTGAATAGAAGGCGGGAAAACGCTGCAGCAATCCAGCCGACAAGAAGACCGAAGTCAAGTATCTGCGGAAACATTTCACAATGAATGGTTATCCTGGCGCATTCGTCGAAAAATGCAGGCGAGCAGCCAACGGGAAGGCCAGAACCGACACGCTGGCGAGCAATGCTCTATATTGTTGGTGTATCCGATGAATTCCCTCACTGGTCAGCGAATTTGGGATCGGCGTTGCTCACAGGCCGGTTGCAACAATCCGCAGACAATTTATGCGGCCTAAAGACCCAGTAGCGGTTAACCAAAAGTTCGGTGTCATTTACCGCATCGACTGCCTTCGTGGTCATGCCAATTATGTTGGTGAAACCGGCAAACGGGTTCTCAAGAGAATGCACCAGCACGAACTCGCCGTGCGACGGAATGACAAGCTTTCTCTGGTAGCCGCTCACGCATCCATGCCAGGGCACGGCTCCGATTTCGAACACGTGCGAATACC